ATATATATATATATATATATAAAATATTATAATACATAATCTGTTCATTTATATCTACGTTGATAATTTTTTTTTTTTGTAAATACGTGTATATGTCCATTAGAAATCTGAGCTATATAATGTGTCACGAGGAGATAGATTTTGCTTGAACTTTCCCCTATTCTTGCGAAAACCCTGTGATAAATCCGTATTATATGCAACGTTCTATTGAAGAAGGTGGGTATCTCCGTAACGAAATCACGTAATTGCTGCCAATGGTGTGACCCTGTTGTGGAAGGCGTATCCATTGTTAGAATCGCATCAGAATTAGATCACAGACGAACACGTGCACCACAAGGGGATGAACCCAAATCTGATTTTTGACACCCTTTACGTCATCCTACGTGTTTGTCAGTTATTTTTGACCAAATCAGAGCATAAGAAAAATTTGGAACGATTTACTGCTTTCATATTACAAATTTGTGCTATAATAAATCATGATACAAAAACGTTACAGATTATTGAAAGATATGAGGAATTTTTAATTTATTGCAACTCCCTTAACAATATTAATTATTGTTCAATTAATTATTTAAGTTATTTAAGTAGTTATTTAAGAATATTATTAATTATTTACGAATATTTCAGAAATATTATTATCACATTTACTCCCTTAATAATATTAATTATTGTTCAATTAATTATTTAAGAATATTTCAGAAATATTATTATCACATTTACATGAATTCAAGGAAGAGTAAGAAGTTTTAGAGTAGATACAAGGAATTTTTAATTTATTGCAACTCCTTTAATAATATTAATTATTGTTCAATTAATTATTTAAGAATATTTCAGAAATATTATTATTACATTTACATGAATTCAAGGAAAAGTAAGAAGTTTTAGAGTAGATACAAGGAATTTTTAATTTATTGCAACTCCCTTAACAATATTAATTATTATTCAATTAATTATTTAAGAATATTATTTAAGTTATTTAAGAAGTCATTTAAGAAAATTATTAATT